ACACCTCATGAAAAATAATTTATAAGAAATGACCCATGCATTGAACAAGTCAAAAGGGTAGTTAATACTAGGTCAAAAGGGTAATTAATACTAGTACACGTTCAAGGTTCAACTACACAATTTCTTCTTTTAGTAGAGATCTCACGGGGAGGATATATCAATAACTATATACTAAAGGCAAATAAAAAATGACACGTGGCAAAATCTGGTTAAATAATTTCCCGCCAATATTTATTTACTTTTTTGTCAAATTATCTTAGGAAATTTTTAATTCACTACTTGTATAATATTTTCCTACTTTACCAATATATATATATATATATATATATATATATATATATATATATATATATATATATATATATATATATATATATATAATCTTTCATATATTTTATATAAGGTAATCTTTTCCTCCCAAATTCAATAAAACAATCTTGTAACAACTTAGAAATTTAAGCAAAATATTATTATTAAAAAAGAAATACATAATTTTTAATATAGTATAAATTTGTACGAAGTATATATATTATACGGGTGTGTACAAGTTAAAGTATAGTATAAATTTGTTTTAAAGAATATTGGCCTTTGTCATACTATTTATAAGGAGAAAATTTTTTAAAAAAAATTGTTGAAATACAAACTTTTATAAAATTTGGCAAATTCGTGCATTGCCCGAGACCATAAGCTAGTTATTATACTAAAAGACAAGCGGATCAATGTAGAGTTGACATATGTCACTCTATAATTCGCTTGTCTAATAATTTAATACAAAAATTAAAGAAAACTTAACATATTGATTGAGAAATATTTTTGGTTAATTATTATTATATAAATCATATTGATTTCAAAATATCTTAAAAATGATTTTCTTATAGATTCTTAATTATTTTGGAATACTGAGTTTATTAAGTCCATGTAACAATATTTTTGGTTAATTTATATTATATAAATCATATTAATTTCAAAAGTATTTTAAAATGATTTTGATAGATTCTTTACTTTTGGGAATGAGTTTATTAAGTCAACTTTTGTTCAATGATTTTATGTTAATATGTAATTTGTTTTAAGGAAAAAATGATTCATCGAAACGTTTCCTACATATATATAATTTTATTAAAACTTACTATGATGTCATTTTTTTTTTCATAGTCTACATATTTAGGTTAAATTTTGTCAACTTTGTAATCATATATATAAATGTTTTTTCATTATTTTTTTTTTCGGTGCAAACATTATATACAAATTTTTTTCATCATTATAATACACTTACTTACGTTAATCATCAATCTTTTACATTTATCTCTTTTACATTTTTCTTTATTGAATTTGTCAAGGCAAGTAATAATATTCATTTGCTATCTTTAATTCGTTTAAGGAAGCAGTGATGTTATTAAAGAATAATTATTTATAAAATATTAATTAACCATTAGAAAGAGAAATAATTTTTTCTCAAAAAAATTATTAATTGTTTAATGAATGTTCCTAGAAGGACACAATATTTTTTAGTTTATTATAATTGTATTATGCATTTAAACATAAAATTTTTGAAAAGTGTATTTAATGCAAGGTTAGTCAATTCATTAATAAACCTTTTAGACTAAACACTTAATATATATGTCAGCGCTATATCATCGAAGGAAAATTTGAATAAAAAGCAACTAGATGTATAGCTATATGAATTTTGCATAAACAAAATATAGAAAAGTTTTTAAAGATGTAAAAATTTCATATAATATCTTGTCCACGGGTGATAATGGGGAATGGATAACTCGATTTCTCTTTCATATTCTTATTCTTTTTTTTAGGGTTAAACCTACGCAGTGCATAAGGGAATATCACTCGGGATCTAGCACATGAGATCATTAGCAATTACAATTTTATTACAACAACAACAATAACAATAACAACAAAGCCTTAGTCTCAAAATGATTTGGGGCCGGCTAACATAAATCATCATAAGAAATCGTGTGATATAAAGAAAAACACATAACAGAATAATCATTTGAAAGAGTTTGAAAAGGTTAGCAAGCGAAAGAGTATTCAAGAAAAATTATGCGGCTAGCCATAAGAAATCGTGCGATATAAAACTTATTTTTACTGATCCTCTATTATTTTGTGAAATAAATTAAATAACAATGCATTTTGTATGCGGCTAGCCACACCATCTGGCCGGACAAAGTAACCCCTATAAAACTGAACGAGTAACCCTTGTAATACTAACTGAGTAATCTCTAACACTGACTAAGTAACTCCTATCTATAACACTAATTAATTGAGTAACCACTATAACACTGACCCATTAAACCCTATAGCACTCATGAAATAACTCTTATAATAGTTGGTAACACGGTTTGACCAGCTACATATAAAAGTTTGTGATTTAAATATATAATAAATGGATCTTATTTTAAAGAACTTTTTAAAACGAATTTGATGATGGAAATAGAATTGAGTTATATGATATTTATAAAAAAGTTATGATTAATTTTGTATATATGAAATATTAGAATTCTATCGATAATAAAACTCTATACAACAATTTTATCTTAAAAAATCTATTCAAAAATCGCTTACTTAGCATCATACGTGTCACATTAATACCTATTTATCGCATACGTGGCGCGACACTTGGCGAAAAACTGAAATGCCAAGTGTCGTTGTCTCGTGGCCTGGCTGCGAGACCGGCTTTATTTATTAGTGATATATGATATGATAATGTATGTTTTTTGGTTAATGTAAAATTGTGCATTGATTCCAAAAATATGTAAAATTGTCCTTTATTACTCATTCAATTAACTTAACTTTTTTTTTTTTTTAGATTAACATGTTGATTTGTAAGCCGTGTATTGCACGGGCATTATACTAATATTATTTATACATGTAGTTACAAAAAATCTCAAATGATGATATTCGATCAATAAAGATCAAGGGCATATAAACTCTTTGCAACAGATTTTACTAAATAATCAATGAAAACATATGACTTATTTTGTTCCTTAAAAGAAAAGATATGATTGATTTTGTTGCTACAAGTATAATTTAAAGTTGATCAAGAGTAGCCCAACCCGAAAACTACTGAAGTTTGGGCAGCTTTTTTGGACTCGAATTTTGAGCTGAGGTTAGCTCAACCCAACTTTTTTATTAGTTTGGATTTTAGAAAGCTTAAAATTTAAATTTTAGTTATAACTAAATTAGTGTCTGTGCAACACACGGTGTAATAATTTTTTTTTTTCATAATTAATTTATGATATAATATAAAATGAGACAACTTATTCTGGAATAAACAAATGCAATATATATAAGAAAGATGAAATAATAAGGCATAATTTATTAAAGAGAAAATGAAAACTAATAATCCCACCTTTACCATTTCTGCTCAAAACAATCCTACCTTTTTGAAATCAAGAAACAATACCACCTTTAACCTCCATATTCTCAAAACAGGTCTTTTACCAGTTTGCGAAATTGGTAACTTGTTTTAGAAGGTGAGTCACCACATATCATTGTCTGATTGGTCTAATTTTATTTTTTGAATTAGAATATATATATATAAAAAAAAAAAATTCCTTCTCTAGCTCCCCACCACTGCCGCACTAGACACCACCTCACCACCCCTTCCCCTTTCCCCACTTCCCTTTCCCAGTTTCCCTACCCACCTCCCCTTCCCATCCATCTCCCCCCTCGAACTAAAAGCCCACCGCTCGTCCAAACCTGCAAACCTCAATCCGGCCAGGCTCCTTACCCACCGCAACCCTCTTAATTTTGATTTGGGTTTTCTGGGTTTGGGTTTCACTTTGGGGTTTTCTGGGTTTGAATTTCTTTTATGTAGTCAATGGGGAGGCAGTTTCGTGGGGGGGGGGGGGTTAGGGGTTTCGTGGGTGGTCAGGGTGGCTGCGGTGGTCGATTTTTGGGTAACGGGTGGTCAGATTAAAGAGTTAGGGAGTTTTCGGTTAAGAGGTTGTCGGATTTATGGGTTAAGAGGGTTTCAAGGTGGTGGGGGAGGGTGGGGGGAGGTTGGTGTAGTGGCCATGGAAGAAGGTGCGGTGGTGGCCATAGAATAAGGTGGTGTGGTGGTGGCTATGGGAGCTTGAACGAGGGAAGGTTAAGCTTGAAGAAGAGAGTTAAAATATATTTAAAAAATTAACATGTTTAACAGGTTGTAGGTTAAAAGGTCTATTTTGAGAATATGAAGGTTAAATGTGGTATTGTTTCTAAATTTCGAAAAGGTGGGATTGTGTCTAGATTTCAAAAAGTTGGGATTGTTTTGAGCAGAAATGGTAAAGGTGGGATTACTAGTTTCCATTTTTCCTATATTAAAACTACAATTGAGAAAATATGTATATATTTGATTAGTTGTGTTGAAATTATTTAAAAATAGTATACATTATATTAATGTTAATCCCAATAAAACTATACAATGTAGGTGTCGTATGACTTTTTATTTATGAATTAATTTAGTTCAAACAAAATACTATACAATGTACTTTCAAAAAAAAATATGACACTTGGTCACTTGGTAGTATGACATAAGATGACATTCAATCAAGTAAGACTGTATTTAGTAAAAATAATTTCAGTTCTGTATAAATAATTTCAATTCAGTAAAATTAAGTTCATTTTGATAAAAATAGTTTCAAAACAATCAATAGAATTAAATTCAGTTTTGTAAAAATAATTTTAATTTAATTAATACCCTAAAAATAATTTTAGTTCAACAAAGATAAAGTGAAGAAAACAGGACCTAAGATTAATCATCTATATTGTATATTGCATGAGATACCTTTGTTTGGATTGAAGGAAATGGAGGGAAGGAAAATGGAGGGATAGATTATCTTTCATTTGGATAACAAATGCGAAAGGAAGGGAATTGGAGGGAGAGAAATAGAGGGGGTAAATTGTAAGAAATTGATCCCTCCATCAATGGAAAGATTTGGAAGGAAAACTCATCTTTCTTCCCTCCCCTTCTTTTCTTTCCTATTTCTTTATCCAAACACATCATAAATAATCTTTTCCTCAACTTTCATTAATCATTCATTACTTTAATTACTTGGATTTGCCACTTTTAATTAATACAAAGGAACATTTCTCACAAAAGGTCTACTTTAAACAACAAATAACGTTTAACAAATTAAAAAAACTAATTCAAAGATGCAAAGCACCTATTTAGAAGAAAAGTAATACGGTAGCAAATTTAATGGCCCAAGGGACAACCAGAGCCCTGAACAGCTTTGTGATCTTGATCTTGACCTTGACCTTGACCTATTGTTGTCTCTCCTTTCAAAAGTCCTCCAAACAATTCTGCAGGGTCATAGTAGATATCCGCATCCTCTACAAGTAGAGATTCATCTACCTACGTACACATGCGATGTTTAAAATGACGATGATGGTAATTTACTAGGCATTTTAAAGTCACACTGATGATTATAAAAATAAGCGATGTACGAGATGGGATATTGGTATTAAATAGTTTTGAAAGTGACGATATCTTATCTACATTATTATCTCTAAAGTATGACGTACAGCACATAAAAAAGATAACGAGTGGAGAGTAATACATACTTTGAGAACGCCAAGACCATAAAACTCGACCATCTCCCCTGTAGGAGCATGACCTTTGTAAGGACCTTCAAAATAGCCCCAATGCCTAAACTTGAAAGCAATGTTTGGAGGTCCAGAATAAACACATATCACTTCCCATGCGAATCCACGAGGTAAAGCTGACCGAAACACTTCATGAGAGGACTCGAAGCTCTCTTCTTCAGCTTTGTAGTATTGGAAGTTCTTAGGTAAAGAAGTCTTTAGCAAAGCATTATAGCTCCCAATCTTCAGAGCTTCTTCTCCTGATAAACCTTCCCTACCTACACAAATTAATCCATGTAAGTACTCTTTCAACAACCATTAAAATCGCGATTTTTTGTGTTGTTGCAAATTGATATGTATGATGTAACCCAAAATTCTCTCACAAATAATCGTAAAATGGGATACTTAAATTGATACAGAAGAAATAGTTAGAATTCGGCATATCACATATTCTATATATCTTTCAGTTTGAACGTTTCTCATTGCATCAAATCTAATTGATTCAATTTGTTTTTGTAGGAGATATTGCACGATTTTATATGGGAGAGGAGTTAATACGTTTTCATAGAGAGATGATATTATTGTTGTGATCATCTTTCAATAATTATTTATAACCGAGAAGATAATATACAAAGTAATAATAAAGAAAATGTTCCACCTTTTTGTTTTTTTTGGTAAAAAAAAAGTTACAATTGACCTTCTTAAAGGGATCATCTAAAAGATGCTACAAATTAATGCAAGCAAAACAACTTAAAATTAAATACACATCTACATACACAATCAAAGAAATCTATAATCAACAGGTAATAAGCAATAGACCATCCATAAAATCTCACGTAATAGACTTAATGGCTCATTGAATTTACTTGTCTAAAAGTCAACATTCTATAATTTCTTGTCATACTACAAAGAGACATAATTATCACAACTAAATCAGCCATTTATTACATTAACAAGATCTTATCTCTATATATGTCACAACTAAAATGAAAGGATAGGGAGGCCAAACAAATTCTTAAATGAACCTGGTTCACACTAATTTATTGTGGACGACTAATATTAGAGACACTTTGTTTTATTAATAAAAAAAAGTCACTATATTTAAATGGTTGTTTTGTTGAACTAAAAGTCATTGTGGTATTATAAAGCCTATAAGAGGGTTTTTTTTTTTTTTTTTTTTTTTCTTTAATGAAATTTTTTATATATTGGTCAATATATGTTAAAATTAAGGTCACTATGTTTAACATAAGGGTCACTATATTTAATATAACGTTAGTTACGTGCGAATAAACCACAGGTCCACGATAATATTATTATGGATCAGGTCAACGCAAGTTTTTTCCGGGGAAGGCCATTCAAAAAATTTACACCTTTTTAAATTAAGGTCAAACTTAAATAATTTTGACCGTTAATTCTCATTATTACGGAGTACATAAGAAAAATAATTAAAATTTTGATCGTTAATTCTCATTATTTTTGTTAGTTTCATTTTACTGTATACTTGTATATATTTTAGATCAAACGAGTGCGTTGGAGGGTAACTATTGATGAAAGAGGGAAGTAGTTACTCAAGATCTTTAAGTTAAAAGAGTTAAAATTAATTACCATTAACAAAAAGCTTGAATTTATCAGGATTAATAGTGCGGAAATCCTGCAAGCGAGGTTTGTGAGAGAGCTCCATCTCCCACGACTTGATTGCATTTTGAACCGTCTCTTCTAGTGACCCTTTTGGCCATTCCTATTTCACAAATTTTAAAAAAAAAAATAAAAAATAAAATTACAAACTGTTAACAAATTGATCAAAGTGCACCTATTTAGATAAAATAATTAAAAAGAAATTACTACCCTGTTTCAAATATTGTGTAACAATTGAAATTTTTTATATATATCACATAGAAAATATCTATTTGTTATACATAATTTGAAATGGAGGTAATACAAATATTTGTTGTTTATATATATATACTCTATCTTATCTTTTGATTATTTTTTTTTTATTTTTTTTTTTGAAATAATCTTTTGATTAAAACACTTAACTAAAAAAAACATAAGCCTCAACAACATCTTCAATAACAACATGTACAATTATATCGAAAAACCTTAATTCCAAGAATGAGTTGGTACATAAAACAAGTCATCAACCAAGATCCTCTCCTTCCATCTTAGTCTCTTCATGCAATTATGAATATTCATAATTTTAATGAAAGTGAAGTGAACAAGGTCTAATCATAAGATAGAGTAAAAAAAAAGAACAAGGCCTAAGCCTTGGCGATGACAACAACAACATATAGGCCTTGATTGGTCCCAAGGATGGAGTCGACTACATCGTCTCCATGAACCAAATCACAAACCAAGATCCTTTCCTTCCACCACCCCTTCATACAATCACGATTTTTTCGTAATTACATGAATCAATTCAAAGTGCTAAATTAATTAAAACATGATGATACATACAAACATACCTTTTGCCTGCCTTCTTCAAAGAGTTTGTTGACAGCATCATATGTAGGTGGAGCACCATGCCTCCAAACTATGTCTTCGTTCGTTGCATCTTCATGCAAGAAAGTCCTGTACTTGTCTACTTTCACCATACCTTCGGATGCCATATCTTTGGAGTTTGCTAACTTTGCTTAGCTTTTTTAGTTGGATATTGTGATTTGTGTGCTTGTTACAAAGATGACGTTCTTTAGTCCTTTTATAGGAGGCAGAAAATGTTTTTGGGTTGATATATTATTGATTAATAATATCAAACAAGATTTTAAAAAATCAAACTTGATTAAAAAATCTAATCAATAATATATGTGCATAAGTAAATTTACCATTACTCTATGTTTTTTAAAGATTGTTCCGTTAGTTTTTGAAAATTTCAATATGTATATTTACTGTAACAATATTCTTTAATTACATATGATTAAAAAAAAAAAAGGGGGTTATATTTGAACTACTGTACACATTAGAACAATTGAACAAATCTAACAAGATCGCACATCAGCACATGTAATCTGTGTATATATGTATATACTTGTGTATTATTTCTAATATATTAAAGATAATTAATTTTTAGTCAAATTTTTGACTCTCTAATCGTATATACTTCATTACTTCAACCTTAACTTGACTGACTACCAAAATTACATCATTGAGATGAAGAATAATCCAACCATAACAATCATTGACAGTAATTTATCTATATATTATTATAAAATGAGCTTTATTATAAGATATATTAATGATTTTATTTGGGGTGTAATTCTAATCAATGACTGTACTTTAGCCAATATATTTTTATTACGTTACATTCTATAATGTCTCTTTTCAAAAAGTAATCACAATTCACAATTATTCACCTGCTACCTTACTTCAATTATTTTCCTTGATAAAATATATGCATAATAAGCCGACAGAATTCATGGTGGAATTGGACCGATTCTACGATTCTACACCGATTTTAACAATTCTACCCCGGCCCTGCAAAAATTTTGATATTTCAAAACCCATAACTTTTTATTGCGGCATTGAAATTAAGACTTATAATATACCGTTGGAAAGCTATTGAAGTCTACTTTCTAATTCAATTGGTCTCGCATCCATATCTTTTATTTATCGTATGATATGGTCAAAAGAGTGCAAGGGTGTCATATTTGAGCCTAATTTTTATTCAATTTGTGATCTATTTTCAATATAAATTGAAACTAAAGTTATGAAAAATCAATTTAAAACTCTTTTAAAATGCTCCAACCATTTGAAATTCACGGACAAAATTAATCATAGATTCATGAGTCTTATGAGCTCCACATTGGCCATTAACTATATAAAAACACTTTTATCACATAAGTTTGTTATGGTTGTCATATATTAGCTAATAGCTATCTCTTTGAACTAAACTTATTTAACGCTTAGTATACCATTATCATTGGATTATTTACTAGGTGAAACAATTTTAGGTGTCAAAAAAATTACTTTATTCGTTATTGTCTCGTACTCTTGTGATTGACCTGCTAGGTTAGAATGTATTCCAATAACAGTGTACTATGCGTCCGTTTGAACTAGGAGCGTGTTATAGTATTGATTAATAAAACGAGTCTAAGTTTGTATTGTCGATATTATGTTAGCAAAACTATATTTATTATCATACTTATTGCTTGAAAGTTATGTTTTTAGTCATTTAATATCATTTTAAAACCCGATTTTTTTAAATTGGTAGAATCGTACAATTTTACAATTAGATTTTACCTATTCGATTCTATCCCACTCACCCAAGCTTGATTTTTGCTCATTTGATATATAAATTATTTTTTCTACTCATTTTAAAATTTTTAAATGAGCAATACCCTTAAGTGCATCTTATATCCGGACGTATATAATTTTTTTTAATTAGGGAGGGGATAATCACAACATCGTCAATGTTTATGAGGTCTCTCTCAATTGGTCAACACCCACCTAAATCCAATATCAGAGCAGCCATTGTCATTTTGCCAAGGCAAAATATAAATAGTACCTATCAAATCACATGTAGTTTTGGATGAGTTTATGTAAAGCTAAACTTAATCACTTTCACATTTGGCCAGGTCAAAATCTAATCCATATACCCCATCACCTCACATAATCCAGCGGTATAAATAAATATATATTCCTTTGTTTAATTAAAGGAATTTGGATTAAAATAATACTTGTACCAACTATAAACAGTGTGTGCAAAATAATAGAACCCAACTATTTGCTATTAACGGTATCACCTTTTGTATTATATGTGCAAAATAATACGCCGGTCGCCGAAAAAGTATTTTGAGGAATATTCTGTCTATATTTATTATTTTATTTTATTATTAATTTTCTGTTTTCTTTTCAAAATATATATTATGTAACAATTTCCTTTATAATCCAAATTAATAATGCCCCACCTCTTTGATAGGCTTTTTTTTTATTTAATTTTTTAATTGTCAATATTTATTTAAATATTTTTTTCTTCCAAAATACATGTAGTAATTTTTTTTTTGAAACAACATGTAGTGATTTCTACTATCACATAATATTAAATAGGGTATTTAAATGCATTATTATGTTGATATAATTAGTTTCAAAAATTGTATCAAAAAATCCAAAATTTCCCCACATTCACCTACCAAAATAATATGGGGAAATTTTTGGATTTTTTAAACAATTTTTGAAACTAATTATATTAAAATAATAATGCATTTAAATACCATATTTACTATTGTGTGGTAGTAGAAATTACTACAGGTATTTTGAAAAAAAAAAAAATTTAAATACATATTGGCAATTCAAAAAAAAAAAAAAAGCCTAACAAAAGGTTGGGGCATTATTAATTTGGATTGTACTGTAAAAGAAATTGTTAACATAATATGTATTTTGAAAAGAAAACAGAAAACTAATAACTAAATAATCATAATAATAGTAACGGAAATCGTTCCGTGTACCCTTGAGGTTTTAAAAAATGCATTGTGTACCCCTGGAAACTTTCAAATACATTGTGTACCTTTGAGGTTTGTAAAAAAATGCACCAAATACCCCTAGACTCATAACAAATGGTAATTTTGTAAGATTGAGACCCCCTAAGCATAAAATTCTATTAAATTATTATAGTGTAATGCTAAACTATTTAATTATCAAGTAAACTTAGTTAATAAATCAAATACTAAGACTCAAAAGTTTAGAATTTAGAATAATCGATGGAGTTCAAATTTAGATGTAATTTTGCTTTAAGGCGGTTTTACTGTATAAATATAAAGTACTATAAGGGAGTCAGTGTGTGGGCATGATTTTAGTTTAATAAGTTAATGATATGTGCATTTGTTAGATGATTAGGGTATTTGGTGCATTTTTTTTTTTACAAACACCAAGGGTACAATGCATTTGAAAGTTTTCAGGGGTACACGGTGCATTTTTAAAAACCTCAGGAGTACACGGAATAATTATAGACGGAATATTCCTCACGATTCTTTTCCGATGACCGGCGTACTATTTTGCACATATAGTACAAAAGGTGGTATCGCTAATTGCAAATAGTTTAGTTCATATTATTTTGCACACACCGTTAATAGTTGGTATTATTTTAAATTAATTTTCCTTAATTTAATGGTGATTGTCTTATACTTTATAAAAAAAGATTGGGAAGTATTTTTAAAGACGAAAGATGTAAAGTTAAAGAATGAACTAATTAAATAAATACTCCGTTAAATAGAGCATAACTGGACAAATAATTTCAACTACGGTTGTGTTATCTTTACCTTAATCAAATAATATTTAGAAAAATAATTTATGTTTAATAAATGCTACGTATAATTTTAGTTGTGTAAAGAATATTTAAATTCATCAAATATAATTTTTTATTTTTTTTAAAAACAAATCATCAAATATAAATTGGGTAATAATAATAAGTTTAAATCAGTAAAACCCACTAACTTTAACAAGAAAAGGATTAATATGGAGTAAGTAACATATAGTTTAAGTTCAACAAAACTAACTTAAATTTAATAAATAAAATAATTAAAAAAAACTTTAATAATTAAAATTAGTTTTTTTAAAATAATAATTAAAATTAGTTTAAGTTCAATAGAAATAATGTAATTTTAGTAAAAATATTATAGGTTGTTTCTAATTTAAATGCAGTATATATTAGGTGAAAAGAATAAGGGCTAATATTATATTATGACTACATAACTAAACCTTTACCAAAAGTTTGTGCGCAAAAATTAACAACTTTTGTTGCTTTTTCTCTCGAGAAGGACTTAGGGTTTCTGGCTTTCTTGTGAAGTTATTTCTTTCTTCTCTAATCCAGAAGTGAGATTTAAATCGTGTGTGGCTGTTGTTTACGTGTCTCTCGGCTTGTGGAGTCTGCTTTTGGTTCCATTATTGGAAATCAGTGAGGATTATTGTGGACGAAAACCTTGAACAAAAATTACGTGGGATAACCCTAACGGAAGAGGAAGAGGAAATTGTGGGATGTGATAATAAAGAGGATGAAATCATAAACGAATAATTGCGACTCTTCCTGGTAGGGAAGCTCCTTACGCTAAATCCTTTTAGTATTGAAGCGATGAAGAATACGATGAGATCAGCCTGGAGATTGTCGAAGGGTATGGTGGTGCGGGAAATTGAGAGCAACATCTTTATGTTCCAGTTTTTCACGATTTCGGATAAACATCGGGTTCTGGAGGAGGGCTTATGAACTTTTGATGGTGCGCCCTTAATCCTTAAGGAGGTGGAAGAGGGCATACAACCTTCAGAATTAGTGTTTGATACCATTAGATTGTGGGTAAAGGCAGAAGATGTTCCCTTGAATGAGAGAACAAAAACTATGGCCATATCAATGGCGTCGAATATAGGGTCTTTCGTTGAGTATGATGAGTCTGATCCTATCGGTTGGAATAAATATATGCGATTTAGGGTTGATTTAAAACTGAATAAACCTTTGAGGAGAGGTATGAGTATTGCTGTGTCGAATGGGAGTAAGTGGATAAAGTTTAAGTATGAGAAATTGATGGATTTCTGTTTTGCGTGTGGTCTTCTTAGACATAGCTATCAACATTGTGAAAAGTATGATGATGTAACCCCTTTCTCTGAGCTACCCTACAGAAAGTGGCTTAGGGGTTCCCCTACAAGGAAACGAAGGAATATTGATACTAGAACAGAGGAGGAAATATCATTATGCAGGGAGTTTAAAGGTAGTCTACGCAGCTTAAAGGTGAAAACAAAGCTGAATTTTGATAGCAGTAAGGAGATTGGGTTTGTGGAGAATAATGTGGAAAAAATTCAGTTTTGAAAATATACGAGAACCCTATTAGGGGTGAACGACAGTCTGTGCGCTTTCAAAAGAGGGGCAAAATT